TTTCGAATTATTATTTTGAGTGCTTTAAGAATTAAGTATTTTTATTTCAGTGCGTTCAAATAATAGAAATATGAAAATTTGTCCATTTCTTTTTGACAAGGTCAAATTAATTTTTTTGTTAGGTAATATTGAACATTTTAATATTTATTCAAGTGATTAAGAAATTCCTTTAAAATTTTGATTAAATAAAATAAAAATAAGATAAAAAATTTTAATTTGAAACAAGAAAAGGTAGAGTTGACCGTGTCAACCCTGTGATACCCGTATCAATAAATAATTTTAAGTGCTTTGTGTTAATTGCTACACCGTTTCATACCTACTCCTGTTTTTTTAATCGTTCTTGCAATATTTTAGCAGTTCTATTCTATTTTTTCCATAATACAGTCAAATGACTTTTGCAGTTTTATGGCAAATACAACAACAAGTCAAGAAATTTCAACTAGTTTTATTAAATATAAATAATCCTAATAACATATTTGTTTGAACGAAATTTCAATACGATTTTATAATTTCTGAAATCTAGTCAAAGAACAGTTAAAGGTGCATGTCAGCTTGACCATTTACCATAGTTGCTTTTGTAAAATTTAAGTGTCATACACAATTCTACAATCATACACTTCGACAATTTCTAAGTTATAGTTACGATGATCAAAAACATACACTTGAGTCTATATCTCAGAGCGTTATTTCTTAGCGTTACAAACGGCTAAACAAATTTATTATACCCTTCGAAGATACATTAGCATGGTTATTAAAAATGTACCATTCTGATGTTATAACAAATGTGAGTGATAAATTACCTTAAAGTTAATTATTTTAAGAATTTATTAATTTCCGTTATAATTCGGAAAATATTTCGGGATTTCTAACAAAAAATTGGTTCACAAGCGTAAAGCAGTGAAATTTTGAAATAAGAATTTTAAATTATTTATTTTTATATTTGTTTCTTTTTTCAATTTAGCAACTTAATATAATTTCGATATTTAGAGAAAGGTGTAAAATTTATAATAATTTAAGTGTAGTCGAATAGCTAATAATGATTTGCGACGTATACTATTTTTCTAAAAAATAAAAATGTCAAGTATTATGGGTAGTCCTCTTCTCTTTGATGACTCTTCCCGAAATCTCATTGAAATGATCGTTGATGATTATTGAAGATTCGTTAACGCTGCAAATCTATCTAGCCTCTATTTATCATAGCAAAACCGTCATAATTTGATGCGGGAGAAAAAGGATAGTTAAGAATTAGTAAAGGTATAGGGTTTATTAATATTAAGGAGACAAAAGATTCTCGGACTAAGTTTTACAGAAAAACAAAAATTAGCAAAAAAAAAAGGTTTGAGCTACAATACCACTATTATATCTAATATTCACACATAATTAAAATTCCTAGAAAATATACAGACCTCAATTCACGGATCAAAATAACTTGAATTGGAAATGACGGTATGCAACATCCTAGGCAACGGCTTATTTCTCCTATAACCCGTACTGTGATAATCAACATTTAAAAACTCTACAGACCTAAAGTTGCCCAAAACCGAGAACCGGGATCGAGACACTTAAAAGTAAATTAGCCTATCTTCATACCAATTAACATTAGTCTTCATACAATGCCAACCTGATCGGACCAGCGGCAATGCGAAACGGAAAAATAAGCCTAACCTATAAACAAAGATGCTATTCAACGTAGAGATCAACAAAAACACTTCATAATGAAATTTAATTTAAAATTAGCTGTATCTATAAAAAATTCAAGCTTCTGTTGAGCATGACCCCAAGATCATTCATAAAATTAATCCGCCTTTCAAGAAACCTTCCATTCAAGCGGTATTTAGTTGTAGAAGAACCGCTTTTACGAGAGAAACTTATTAATTTATGAAAAGTTTTATACAGACAGACAGCATCAAAACACATCTTTTTCAAATTGTTTTTGATGAAATAATTAATTAATATAATTTTTTAAGTAAAGTATGCTCCTATTTTTGTACATATATATAATTAAATTTTATAATAATAGTGGATGGACGCTTAAATGTTTTAAACCAGAAATTTGTTTTACAGCAATATTACACTTGCATAAACCAGAACTTCAATCCAATATCTCCAATATCTTGCAGGAATTGTGCTTTCATGATTTTTGCGATATTAATTGACATCACATAATTGACATCAATTATTTTGCTAATATAAAATGGCTATGAATTGATAATGTACCCAATTTATTTCCTCATTTATGAACACTTAAAAAAACATCTGAGATAATGAATATTTTTTTAAATAATAAATAATAATATTTAAACAATTTGAATAATTTTTGCATCAATATTTGCATGATTTTTATGTGTGTGTTTATAAAAATACATAAAAATCATTAGACTTTAGGTTTAACAATATACATATGTACATATATGTGTGTATGTGCTTATTAATATATAAATATTTATTTTTTATTTATTTAGACGTAGTATAAATTTAGTACATTTTTTTAACTCACACAAATCCAATAACAGATAATTTGAATTATATAAAAGAGCTGAATATCTATTAGCAATGTACAGGTATGTACAAGTATAACATGTACAGGTGTATTAAATGAATAAATAAAATATAATGGTAGTATATTTTAAATGTATAAAATGCACTTTGATAATTTGGAACCTGAGCTCTATTAAATAAAGTATACCTTACGCAAAAGGTTTTTTTAAACGATTTTCGACAAAAAATTAGTTTCACTCTGCCCGTTAGTCCATCCGCCCATGGACATTTTTACAAAACTTTTACAGTCTTGAAAATAGAAAGCTCAAAATTTTCATATATACATAGATCTTTACTAGAAGCTTATTTCCATAGAAGAAAATTTTTATTTACCTGCGCTTCCCCCTATAAAAGTTATAGCACTCATTAGAAAAGTTATAGCCCGGTTGCCGTTAAAATGGTGCGTTATCTAAATTCCGTTTTTTTTTTTCAAATTTTTGATATCGTATTTTTTCTAGATCCAAGTTTTTTTCGACACTAATAAAATGTTCATTTCGTTAGATGAAAATTTTTTTATCAAGCTAACCGAAAATGCCGTGTCAACAAAAAAGAAGTACCAAACGGGAATCAGAATGTTAACCAAATATCTTAGGGCTAACTCCTAGAGATGTGCCAGAACAGAACAGACGGCTTAACAACGCTCTATTTGGGATATTATTCGCGTGAAAGCATTCAATATCCTGCAATCCAACGCACTAAACATATCAATCAAACAACTTAACCCAAAATCATAACAAAATTATTACATAATATAAAATATTAAGAGTAATTGAGAGTCCTTACATTATTTTGCAAACAAAAAAACGTGAATTAATATTTATTTAGCTTACTTCATCCTTATTTACATTACCCCTTTCCACGTTTTATGAATTAACAATAAACATGCTAAAAAAACAACATCATTATTATTGTGTTTTCACATTTCTAAATTATACGAGTAATAAGTTGTATAACAAAAAAATTTTTACTTTTATAAAAAATTTTTAACAGTTTAAAAATTCTATTTTATTTTAAATACAATAAGAAATTTACTTTTAATATTATAAGGGCATTAAATAATTATTAACTCCTTTATAATACCTGATTTAAATTATTATATAGATTCGTTGAATAATTTCACCGAACTTATAATGAATTGCATGGCCTCACAAAATCTAAGATGACATGCTTTTTAAATGGGAAAATTATTAGTTTCAAGCTTTTGAATAACATTATGATTTCGATATTTGGCTTATGGGAATATGATCAGAAAATTAACTACGAATTTAATTGAAATCGATCGATTTCTAATTGTCGATAATGTCAACAATCCACAATTAAATTATTTTACATGAAATTACAAAATTTACTTAAGATCACAAATGATTTTCGTTAAGCATTCTATAGCGATTTATTTTAACAAGAATTGTATTGAGCAGGTTTAGTTAAATATATAAATGTAATTATACAAACAATAAGGTTTATTTTTATTGAAAATTTCCGCCATTATTATTTATTTAACGCAAATATTTAACGCGTGTTGCCTCTTTAGTCCCTTAAATGTTAGATAATATTTTTTTAAAAATTTAATTTGACTATAAAAAGGCTTGTTAACGTAAAATAAAAATTTAGAATTGTATTGGCTTGGTTAAAACGTGTATTAATTTTAAATACTAAAAAAAAAAAAATTTTAAAATGAAGTTTTTGCTTTGCATTGTTTGTAAGCAACAGATAAAATATTTGTTTATAACATTTATAATTATAATAATATATTTTTTAGTTCTAGCCATACTTGGGAACGTAATGTTTACGGCATCGGGACAATCCACAGGTTATGATATGTTCTACACTAATTGGTACTATCCATATGGTAGTACCCCTTCTTATACTGGCTACAACCCATTCTACACAAACTATTATGATCCATACGCTGAGTAAATGAATTTTTTGATTCAATAGCAAAATGGTGTATATAGAATGAAGAAGCAACTGCAATAAACAACTCTTTAAGTTATCATAAAAATTAATAAATTTATGTGTATTATGTATAAGTATTGTAAAACATATTAAGTATAGATATCATAAGTGTGCACTATAGATATTAACAAATTTTTCGGATTTTATATTGTCATATTGATAAAAAATTTTTTAAATAATAAAAAAATATTAAGCAAATTTTCACTTTTATTTAAGTTAAAAAAATTTTGTACATTAAATTAAAGTGTAATACTGCGATATCACACGTTTAGCTTGCATAAATCTATTTCGTTTTTCGACATGACTTTTCTATTCGAAATAGGAGCATGATTTAACTCCCATTGAAATTGATCTCAGTTTAAACATTGATTTAGTTAAAAGGTTCCTTTCTTAAAAATTTGATTTCAATAATATTTATTCTCTATTAAGTATATTATGAGATCATATGACTTTATACTGATTTGACTAATCAAGTAACGTAATATTAATGACAAAATTTTAGCTAAATGGCATTAGAAATGATAAATGAAAACCGCTTAACATTTATTGATACGCAAATCAGTAATTCTGTAGTCGGTAAATAACCCACAATCTGAACCATAGTTATCATCAATTTACTTTATTCGGTATTTATTGCTGAAAAAGTTCTTGTCAATTTACGTTATCCAGAATTTGAATAACAGGGTAACACACGACGATAGTTACCAAAAAAAAATATATGAAACTCAAATGCTTAGTTGATTTTCGATATATTAAATAATATTGAAGTTCAAGTTTTTATGTGAGGTATCAGATCTATAAGTATAGTCTCGAAACTTATCACAACCTAATTAGATATTTGAAAGTTGTAAGTTTCAAAAGATTTCTTTTATGAGAGGGAAATTTATTTACATTTTCTATCGAACGCGTTGCATGCAATAAGAAAGGTTATGGATGACACCGAATTTCGGATGTGGATTTTTCGGCGGGAAAAATATAAATTTGAATTCCTTGAAAAGTTCAACAATTAGTTTCGGTAACAACCAAAGCTCAAATATTAAATTTCAGGAAATTTCATCAATTCGTTCCGTAGATATGGTAAAAAATATAAAATCGGCACTCAGATCAGTTTTCAGAGCCCTGATATTCCCAAAAAATTCACAGGCTCATTATTTTAACGCTCCGAATTTAAATATTAAATTTTAAGGAAATTGATTTTTTATTATACTTTATATGTAAAGTCAATCTCTGGTTCAGTTCCCAAAGCCTGCCATATTACAAAAACTAATCAATCTATTACATAACCGAAATAAACTCCCATATAAAATTCATTCATCAAGATCGGTTCAGCCAAATTTGAAATACACGCGTGCACACCCTAACTGACAGACCAATATTTTTTCTAAAAATAGTTTATTTACGCTTCCCTACCTTAGAGAAATGCGTTTTTACAGAAAACTTATATAAAATTTTGTCCCATCTCATAGCCCTCTCTTACTATTTGCAATGCGATCGATAATAAAACTAAAGCCATGGAGCTGGCTTCTGAATTAGACAAAGTGCGTTGGACTAAAAAAGTGAAATAATTTAAAATTTACTTTTGAGAATCTGGGGAAAAAGTACCTAAAAAATAAAAGAACAGTATTTTAAAACGTTAATAATTTTATATCATGTGAGTAAATAAAGAGACAATTGAATTAGTAGATACAGAACAACACTGCAAAAAATTTTTGGAAAACAATTTTTAACCCTTGCACCACTTTAACTAGCACTTTTGACATCGCAGGTTAAGTTTTATTCTTAACCAATAAAGATTTAATAGTGTTAATACATACAGGTACATAATCTATTAAGAATGTGATTTTATATGAAAAATATTTCGGAGTAGTAGTTCGTTTTGTGCGGTGAAATTTTTGCTCACCGCTTTTAAATGTTTTAAGCATTACGAATGAAGTTCAACTGCGAGTAATTCAGAATGCTTTCAATATACAAGTAATAATTAAAAGTGTCTTTTGTCCCAAAATTTATTATCTTCTGCGCAATTATATGTCTTCTTAAAGATACGGATGGTGGGAGAGATACAATACGGCTTAATAAGTTGAGGGTTAAAACATAAAATCGTTAATATAACAAAAATATTTAAAATTAGGAAAACATTTAAATTTAAATTTTTATATTATTATTAATTTTATGTTTACATAGTGTTATTTGTGTGAAATTAAAAAAGATCTTTCTTATTTATATGCGTGTTTACATATTTTTCGCTACGGCCACGTCAGAAAAAAAACAGTGCGTGATGTGTACAAATAACAATTACTGTTTGTGCTCAATAATATTTTCGTTAGAATAACTGTTATACAATTATTGAATGCATTTTAATACCGTTTTTCTCATATGGTATAAAAGCAGTTGTAGTCTAATTCCACAAAAGAAAAAAAATCTTAGCAATCATGTATTGAAGTCTTCAGAATAAGACAAGTATTATTTAATACTTTAATGTTGTAAGCGGTCAAGGCTCTTTAAGGGTCAAGAGAAAAAGGGATAAAATGCTTTTATTTATGTAGATAATAGTGAATTTACTCCATATTTAAAAATCTGTGTAAAGCTTTTTACTTTGCAAAAATTTTCTTTATTCAGTAAATATATAAGTGGCCTTAGTCAAAACAATGTAACAATTACTTTGTTTGAATTTTGGTTCAAGCTATTTGTTCAATAGACGAAAGTAGATTTACAATTCTAAAAATTGAAATTAAAGAACTATTTTGTATTTCAAATTCTATTTTCATTAGTTTGGAGACTAATAGAGGTCGTACATGCCCAATCACTTAAACTCTTCAAGAAATTAAAAATTGTAATGAACTATTTCATGAAGCAGGAGGGAATGAATAAGGGAGTCACAATCCTCTAATGGTGAGTTGATTACTAACAAATTGTTGTTGCTAAAGATGAAATCAATCATCTTTTAGCTAATTCAGCTTTGGCAATTAAGCAGGTTATAGGTTTAATTCCCTAAATGTCGCAGCGATGGCCAAAAAAAAAAATGAAGTGACAGTTTTTGGATCAAATGATGCTGAAACATTCTCAAAAAGGGGTGTAATGAAGAATTTGCTACAATTGACAGTAAAATTATGTAATCTAAAAATATCTAAATAAAAATATCTAATTTAAATTAGATATAACTATACATCATATAGCAGAGTATATAAAGTACAGACTAATGGTATCTTTGTTACCTTCTTTTGCCGTAATGCCCTCTTATTGGATTTATAATTATGTGGTAGATTCTGATTATGGGATGACCTTGTCTTAAAATTCTGGTCTTAAATTAAATCAAAGGAATTTGTAAATATAATTAAATACAGTTCAAGAGGTGTAAGAAAAAAAGGAGAACTAAAGAGGATGCAATTTATATAACTAATATTCAAGCTCTTTTTTTGGAAAGAAGTCTAGATTCGAATGCTTCAAAAATGATGAGAGACATTAAAATAACTGAATACTTAGTAACTTCAGATTGGATTTGGGAGTAGACAAAATTCTGGCAGTTACACGCTAAGTTGACTGAGAATGTAGAACAGACAATGTTCTATCTCATTATAATTTTATTTTTCCTGATATAAGGGTTAAACTTCAGGTGAACAGGAAAGTTTCAAACGAAGTGTTGATTTAAATTGGAAAGTTTGTCTAAGTTTTCAAAATATGGTTCACATAGAGATATTTTATTATCTTTGAATTGACCAATCTGTAAAAAAATTGCCTCATTTATCAATAACTTCATTTGGTTTTGTTTTAAGCAATAATATTCAAAGCATCTTATATTGTTAAGTAGCCCAACTAGAGTTCTTGTTGAGACTAACATGAATTGATTTCAATAATTATAAAGAGTTTGAATGCAACAGCCAAGTAGGAAAATTTTAAACCATTGTAAAATTATTCCACGAAACCATCCGAAAAATGGTACAAGATTCATAGTCAGAGAAGAGCTAGTTATTGAGGCTCTTGAATTGATTTTTGAAGACTATTTACTTTCATCTTATTAATTTCATTATATTTTTATATGTATAAAAAAATTAGCTTCGAAACAGCTGTGTCTAAAAAATATTTGAAATAACGCAAGTTTAAATAAACTTTTTAATTTTCTAGCAGCTGTGTTTGGCTAGCACAATAAATAAAATTAATATAATATAAATTTATTTTTAATTTAATTTTTCACTATAAAAAGGGCTGGCAAAACAGATGATAGATTAGAATCGTGTTAGCTGTTCTAGAGTGCTGGCTCGTTTTGTAAAATTGGCAATATCAAATTAATAAATATGAAGATTCTGTTTTCTGTCGTTCGTAAGTTGTTATTTGTTTTAATATTTATTATTAAAGAGGAAAAATATCAAAAGCAAATTATTTAACATATTAAAATTTTAGTGCTGTCCTTGCTGGGCGCTGCATTAAGCAAAGCTCAAACTACCTCCTACAGCGGATGGCCATCCTATTATGGAAGTTATTATAGCGGCCCATATTCAGGCTATTCAGGTTATTCTGGCTATTCAGGCTATGGCGGTCCATATTCAGGCTATTCAGGTTATTCTGGCTATTCAGGCTATGGCAGTCCATATTCAGGTTATTCTGGCTATTCAGGCTATAGCAGTCCATATTCAGGTTATTCTGGCTATTCAGGCTATAGCAGTCCATATTCAGGCTATTCAGGTTATTCTGGCTATTCAGGCTATAGCAGTCCATATTCAGGCTATTCAGGCTATTATACCGGTCCATATTCAGGCTATTCAGCTTATTGTGGCTATTATGGCTATAGTCCATATTCAGGCTACTATAGCGGTCCATATTCAGGCTCTTATAGCGGTTCATATTCAGGGTATTATCCATATTCTGGATACTCAGGTTATGGCAGTGGTTACTACCCAGCTGAATCTTGGTCATATTCCGGATATGGCAGCAGTCCGTATTACTCTGGATATTCAAGCTGGCCTTATTCAAGTTAGTATGGTTATTGTAGTTATCCTAAAAAACTATTTTAACGCGTTACCATTTTCTCTAGGTTATTCATGCGGTACGACAACAGGTTGGCCAAGCTCTTATTATACAGGTTCAAGCTCTTGGCCATATTCAAGTTATAATTCAGGTTCTTCGAGCTCTTGGCCATATACAAGTTATTCATGGCCATCTTCAAGCTCATGGTCATCTTCAAGTTATCCAAGCTATTGGTCATCTTCAAGTTCATGGCCGTATTCAAGTTCCTCAAGTTATTCTAACTATTGGCCATCAAGTTCCAGCAGTTACTCATGCGGTACGACAACAGGTTGGCCAAGCTCCTATTATTCATCTTCTTCAAGCTCAGAAGAATCAAGTGAAGAATCCTCATTCTGGAACAATCCTTTCTTGAACATTGAATTGCCTTTCTTAAATGCGCCACCACCACCTTCCAATAATAGACCTGGACCACCTGGAGCAGGAGGACCACCTGGAGCAGGAGGACCACCAGGAGCAGGAGGACCACCTGCACATGGCCGACCATGGTAAATGTAGTAAAGGTGATTTGATGTCTAGAAGGAAATAATGCTAGTACAGCAATCAATAAAACAGATTAAACAAATAAAATATAAGTAATTATTTTCCTTGAGAATTATTTCTAATAGTTTTGAACAGTCTTAATTTTAAGTTACGAGATGGATAACTAGGTCTTAGCCCTTAAATAAAGTCCACTTTAATTATATGATTGATTAGTTCAATGACAATTAAGTGTTCACTTATTTGCACATAGCCAAATTTTTAGCTTATTTTGTGTTTTATTATAGATGAGCAAGAGTGAAATAAGAAATTAGTAAATGAATACTTCAACTATAGATATGATTATTACTTTTGTTTCGTTTGATACAATGTGTACGATGGGCTTCTAATTTTTGTTGTTACACTTGGTGGTATGTAGATAAATTATAAGATTAATTATTCATTTGTCGTATTATCTTATTCAGACTGTAGAAGCATAATATGTTATACTTTTCGATTAAAACTTGTATTCTCCTTCGATAATTAAAACAATGGATTACAATTTATCGAAAACTATTATGGATTTAAATTTTTTTTAATTTTTTGAAGTGTCATTCAAAATTTCCTTTGATTTGAGGAAAAGATCCCAAAAGTAAACTATTCACAATAGTTTTGAAAAACTAGTTCTTTCCATATAAAATTTGTAGTTATTCGAGAGTAGCATGTTATTAGTTGTAGTTGTAGGATGTTATTGTTGTAAATTTAGTTCTTCAATTTTCATGACAAAAAAATATTTTTCGAACTAGATGGTTCGAAAAATATTTTTCGAACTAGGTGGTAATCAGTTGCTTAAATTTTTTTCAAAAATTTTTAAAAGTTTACAATTTTAAAAAAATATCTTCTGAAAATTAAAATTTTAGGACGCCGTAATGTGGGATGAAACTGAAGTGGGAAAACATTTTTTTTTTATAAAAAAAAACTATAATGTCAATAATTAACAATTTTAAAGAGAAGTGATGGTAAAAATAGAAAAAAATTCTTTTAGTATCTCGTGGTATCTACAAGACTTCGATTAAAAAAATTCTCAAAATTTAGGGTGTTTTCAGTATTTTGAAATTCCTATAAATGATTCCTAAATCTTTTGGAAAAAGAGCAACGGATAACTTAATATTGCAAATACTTTTAATTTATATTTAAAAATGAAGTTGTGGGTTATTAAAAGAAATAGACGTAAAAAAATGTAATTATATTGCAGCTAATTATTTGTTGATAATTTTGGAGCTTTTGTTTAGCAACTTTTTAATATTTTTCAATTTAGACTTAAGGCAATTCATCGCAACAAGACCCGTTTTCTAATTTTTCAAATTTTCTAAGCGATGGCGAAATGAAAGACAAAAACAAACACTACCTCGCTTTTCTCAAAGCGTCTCTTCGTTTTTTTAACCCCAAAAAATTTGCTTTGGATAACACCATGCTAACTTCGAGTTTTGCTTAGAACATTGTAAAGTTTTAAGAAATTGTCAGAAATGCCCACTGTTTTATATCAGAAGTTTCAAGTCAGGCGTATTACGAAAGATAAAGAAAACTTGTTATTAAAATCCTTTTTGTTATTTGAAAAAAGCTCTTCAAAAGCTTTTGTTAAGTCTTTTCTTACATAACGATTATTACCAACACAAAAACTTTTGTATTCCACCATTTTTCCTGTCATTAAAATATTATACAAAGCTTTTTTTCATATTTTTTTTCATTCTAAATTATTTATTCATTTCTGATATTACCCATTGGACTTACTTGTTAAATGCGTTACTTAATATAAATTTAATTCTTAATTTTCGTCATAAAAAAACCTAGAAAATAAAGTAACAGCAAAACCATATGTATTCTCAAATATGTTTCTAAAATTAACTTATTCCTCCTGAAGTTATGCAAAGATATTTATCTTATATTGTATCAATACACACTAAAAAATGTTGTTTGGTACGTATTTTGGTACATATACCGTTTAAAAATTCATTAATTATTATTTTTCCCAAATTTCAGTGAGGATTTAGTGTTTTCATAAGACTTAGAACCAGTACCACATATTTTTACCAAAATGCAAATGAAATCGTCAATTTTCCATTCCACGTTACAATTTTAATTGTTTTAAAGAAACTGACAGTATAGTTTGTAAGAAGTATAATATATTTAAGCATCAGATGAATTTGATTAAAGTCTTAGAAAATTTTAGTGTATCCAATAAGTTTATTGTATATACGTTTGAATGTGTTATAATATTATAATATATAATAGGGCGCTATACTTGTAGAATAAAACTTAGCTACTACCAATCAATTTAAATTATTGTGCAAGTTTAGATTTACGTTCATTTTTGCAAAGTATACCACTCAAACTATATGAAAAATTTTAACTTGTTATAATATATCTGTTATACTATAAATCAATTATATCATTATGCAAAAATTATGGCATATTACATACATTAATATGATTAGATCTAATATAATTATGAATTTCATTATCGCCTAAAAATATGCAGATATACCAAAAAATAAAGGTAGAAATTCAAATTGAGGTTCACTCGTATAATTATAGACTTTTTCATGTTTGTTATATTTTTCTTGCATAAAACGAGTTTATTGTAGCTTTGATCAAATTATAATTTTAGAAAAAAATTTGAACTCTGGATTTTTAACAAAAATAAAAAAGTTTAAATTTAATAATGTAAGAATAATTTTTAAATTACGGATATGTACACATTCAACTATTAAACAACTCTCTCGTTCTTCAGCCGATCGGTGTAATTTTGCTTTTTGCTCATATTGGTGATCCAGCCTTGTTCCAGGCAAACAAAGTTTTAAAGGTATTGTGTTAATAGTTTACTTACTAATTATTAGTATAAAAAAAAATTAATTTCTTTTTCCATGACATATCATTGCGATCATCAAAATTTATAGGGTACTTCCTGAATTCAGAAAAAAATTGAAGTTTCAAACTTGCAGTTTCAGTAAAGAAACAACAAAAAAAGTTATAAAACTTGCAATATTTACAACAGCTTATTGAAATTGGAAATGAAAATTTATATGACATTTCCGTTATAGGGATCTTCATAATAAATATAGAAATCCTAATAAATAATAACCGTTATCCTAATAAATAATAAGAAAATTTAACTTTAATGCTTGAAAATCTTTACTTCCTCGTCCTCGGACAGTAGCTAAATAATATGATTATCAAAATTGATCTTTATATTTTCGGAATGCCTGCGTTGGATCTAACGAAGATTTTGATGGGCTGTGCAAATACTAACTTCATAATTTAGTTAAAAAAAATTGCCAGAAATCATAATACCTTATATAAAATAATTGGAGGCAATTTTCTCTCCTATTACTGATATTATTATATTCCGGCAAAATTTTCAGAATACCTTGAATTTGCCACAGTTATAGAAAGTTTTAAATTCGTCTCAAATTAACAAATTTTGTTTATGATTAATTTTAACGGCTTCACATAATAGTATTTTTAAAAATGGACAAAATTATGGTAAATATTTTATTATAAATATTTAAAGATTCCACCAGCTGTGTTTAAATAAATACAACGAAAACATTTGGAATGTTTCTTTAAAGGTTATTTTCTATTTTTCACAACAGTTTTGACTATAAAAAGGGTTGATAAACAAGGTAATAGATTAAGTTAGCGCTAATCGTTGAAAAGTATTGATTTCTTTTAAAAATTCCCAAGGAATATTGATTGACATGAAGATCTTATTCTGTGTTGCCCGTAAGCTGTTTTAAAAGATAAAAAAAACAAAAAAAAAATTTAACGTGTTACATTTTCAGTTCTATCTTTACTTGGTCCTGTACTAAGTAAAGCAAAACCACAATATTCTTGGTATTCATCAAGTTCGCCTAGCAACAGCCCTTACAGCAGCTATTACAGTTATTGGCCATATTCAAGCTACTCAAGCTATAACCCGTATGGTAGTTACTCCAGTTACAGCCCTTACAACAGCTATTCTAGTTATTGGCCATATTCAAGTTATTCCAGCTCTTGGCCATATTCAAGTTATTCCAGCTACTGGCCATATTCAAGTTATTCCAGCTATTCGCCATATTCAGAATATTCAAGTTATAGTGGTCCATATTCTAGTTACTACAGTTATTGGCCTTATTCAGGATACTCAAGTTACAGTTGGCCATATTCTAGTTATTCAAGTTACAGTCCGTATAGCAGCTATTGGCCGTATTCAGGTTATTCTAGCTATTGGCCATATTCTGGCTCTTCAAGTTACAGTCCTTATAGTAGCTATTACAGCTCTTGGCCATATTCAAGTTACTCCAGTTATTGGCCATATTCAAGCTATTCAAGTTACAGCCCGTATAGCAATTACTACAGTTACAGCCCTTACAGCAGCTACTACAGTTATAGCCCTTATAGCAACTACTACAGTTATAGCCCTTATAGCAGCTATTCTAGTTATTCGCCATATTCAAGCTACTCTAGTTACGGCTGGCCATCTTCTAGCTCATCAAGTTACAGCCCATATGGTTATTGGAAAAAATAAAGAAATTTTTTCGAATGTTAAGATCATAATAAAAATAAACGATATCAGCAATTTAGTTATTTATTTTTCCCTTTACTTTATACTAGGAGTTTCCGAAAATACTTTTTGTACGCATTATTCGCCTTACATTTTTACATTGATTTTTACATAACATAGCTTTATTATAATATTTGCTATAATTTGCTATATCAACAAAGAAATTTAATCTCGTGTAGGTCATCATAATGAGACGGAGGAAAAATGTAATATTCTTTTTCACGATATAATAATCGTAATGTCACTTTATCCACTTTAATTCTTGGTAAAAAGGCCGAATTTCTCTGATACAAATACATATGAATTCCAAACTAAAGAATATACAACAATGAATAGAGGAACAAAACCACTAGAAATTTATTTGTTCTATTATTAATTTTACCATCTACAGTTTCAGAAGTTTTATATAAAAATTTTGTATAAAACTTTTGTATAAACTCGAATACATTAGTTTTTATTTAATTATTTGATTGCGTAAAATATTGTTAAAGAAAAAAAAAATATATTTATAATTATTTATTATTCATTACGTCAATATTTTTAAATTTTAAATAAATACAACAATAAATCGAAAAACAGTGAGGTAAGAAAATTCTGAATTACTGTAATTTTGCAAATAAAAGTAGTACAAATAATTAGGAAAAGGGAGTTTGAAAAGTTTCTTGTAGCTATGACATTTGACCGAATATGACCGAATACATGTTATTGTTATTTAGAAAAAAGAAATTTGAATGAAGGATGAAGTTGGCGGTGGAAGTTTACTTACTTACTTACTAGGCCTTACAGACCATGAAGGTCCTGAGCCTGACTTATCATTTTTTTCTGCGGTCCTGCGCGGCTCTCCTCCAATTGGAGACACGAAACATATTTTGTGTTATGAAAATTTGTACCAAATTAATCAAAGGAATGAATTAAGAAATTATACTTCTCAAGTTTAAAAAGTATGACAGTATGTGCGTATAATTTAATTGCGTTATTCAAATACGTATAGATAAAGTCAATCCGATTTCAAAATATTTAAAAATTAAGAACTATACCTAAATAAATTTGTAAGCCTAGATTTAAATATTAAAAACCTATGTATGTTGGTTTGAATAACGACATATTATGTAGTTCAACTTTTTTGAGAATATTCCGAGACTCAGAAATTGAAAGATAATTAAATAGTTGAGAAATAGCTTACAAATTTGGAGAAAAATATAAAAGTGTTTTAGAACTAGAAAAAAATGTTTTTAAAAACTAAGAACTTATTTGCGAGCTACGCAAATTATTAATTTTTTAAAATAAGAATTCATATTCGGCACAGAATTACTGCCGAAAACTGAAGTCATTAATTTAAAATATTTCAAAAAATTCAATCACCTCGCGAATTAAAAGATTTATGAGGCCACGTTTCTGAAAGAAAGTAAATAGTGAAGTACTAAAGAATTTTTATGAACATTATAAAGGTTTTACTATCTGCTTAATAAAATAAAGTGAGTTTTTCTGGGATTCATCATACTTTGCTCATATTTACACAATTGACACTAATAAATAGGAAATTTCAACTAGCAAAGCAATGGAAAATTTTAAAACCGAAATTTGTTTTCATATTATATGGGCAACAAAACATTTAGATTCTTAAAATATAAAGTTTTTTAATAACAATTAGCACAGTTGTTAAACATAGGAGAACAATTCAAATTCTATCTTTTTTTTTTTTTGGGATTGTGCTTAATTAATTTTTCTTTATAATTCTATACTTAATGTATTCAAAGATATTATGTTTACTTACATTATTTATTAATGTGAATAAGATTGTGTTCTAAATAAAAATTTTGGTTGTGGCACAATTATTTCAAAGTTGTAGTGTGGTGTACAGTGCTTCCAAAAAATTAAAAAAATTTATTATTACACCAAAAAGTTTTCTTACATCCTGACAAACAAAAAAAACACTTCATCATTATTCTGGTATTTAGCATAATAACTTAAAAATGGTTTTAGTGAGTTTCCAATATGTGGAAATTTTAATAAAATTGAAGTATGGAAAACTTTAGGGAAAAGAAGAATAAGTTACCGTATCACCTTTGTGATACTCGTTCGAATAGTGCAAATAAGAGTCATATAAGGTTCGAAAATCTATCTAATACAAATCTATTAAACACGTTCATTTTTTATATAATGAATTTATGAATGCATATGCACTGTTATTCTTATATTTTATGCGGAACTTTACTCGTCCGCATGCAATTTAAACAACTTCTCTTACATTCAATTTAAATAGTTTATTTAATAATTAATATACACGGACGGTCGCATCGACATTGTTTAATCGACTCAAAATTCATAAATCAATACTTGTGCTTATGTCTATTAATACTATGCTTATATCTATTATTGTAAATGCAAAAAAAAATTGGGCTTTGCTTTGTTCCGTACATTTTGCTCAGTAAAATGTATTTCTTAAATAAAGTTGGTTCAAACCAATGCTTTGTATTGTAGCCCTCTTCCTTCAACAAGTGAAAATACTAATAATTAATAGTAGAAACAATGAGCAGTTTAAGATTAACGAAACGCCAATCGAAGATGTCACGAGGTTCAACTACCTTGGTAGTATAATTACTACAGATGGGGGAGCTGAAGAAGACATAAATAATAGAATTAGATTGGGTAGAACAGCGTTTGGTAGAATATGGGCAATATGGAGGTCGCCACACTTGGCCAGAGGCACCAAAATTAGAATATTCAACTCCTGCGTCAAGTCAGTTCTACTATACGGCAGCGAAACCTGGCACGCAAACCTCAAAAATATAAACAAAGTGCAAGTGTTCATCAACAGGTGCCTAAGAATAATATGCAGGATCTTCTGGCCAAGAAGAATTAGTAACAACGACTTGTGGACACTAACCGGCGAGGAACCAATAGGTCTTCAAATAAGAAGAAGAAAATGGCGATGGATAGGCCATACCTTGCGGAGACCAACTGAAGCAATCGCTCGACAGGCACTTGAGTGGAATCCACAGGGTAAGCGTAAAGTGGGAAGACCTCGAACAACCTGGCGACGAACTGTGGAGAAAGAAGCTACGGCTAGTGGAAAAATCTGGGCACAAATAAAGATCCTAGCGAATAATAGAGTAAGATGGAGAGGTTATGTGGAAGCCCTATGCTCCCAAGGGGAGTGAAAACAGGAGAAAAAAAAAACAATCTGGGGTTTAGGAAAAAAACGACATCAAAAATTAAAAAAAAAAAGATTTTAGATAACGGTAAATTGTAGCGGACATTTTCTTTTTCTAAAGTTCAAATATAGCATGCCACGGGAAAATAAACCAGCGACTTGATTTCTGCGTTTGCAAAATTTGAAAAATGCTTATGGATCCACTGCACTAAATAGTTAAAAAATAGCATTTTTGGAGTTTTAGCGGAGTAACTTTAATTTTAACTTTTAGGGGGGAGAAGTAAAAAGTTTGTTCTACGGAAATAAGTTTTTAATAAAGATCTATGTACATAGCTAATTTCAGCTTTCTATCTTCAGTGGTGTAATAAAATTAAGTTAGTTTTTCAGTAATCTACAGTTTGTCAAAAATTTATTGCAATAAATAAATCTCAAATAAAGGTGCCCGCACTTTTGTATTCAATCAGAAGAGCGTCCAATATTGTTGAAAAAATTTGCTTTTTTCGAAATTAAAATTTTGTGTAAATCATACCGATCGGAGAAATTTTCCCTATGGTAATAAAAATTTAACTATACTTCAATAATATTCGTATATTAAGTATAATCAAAGCTAGCTGCATTCTAAAAATTATCTCAGACCCTAATTTAAATTATTTTCCCTTGTCAAATTTTGACTTCGTTAATTTTCAAATGCAATTTTTTTATAAAATAGAAAACAAGCCAAATTTTCTTTTTTGCTATACACAAAACAAAATGTTAGCGCTATTTTGAAAAAAAAAGATTGCGCCACAAATTATGTTTTAAAAGAATGTGTAAACATATTTATCTTAATTCAAGCTGTGCAAATCATAACTAGATTTGAAATTTTATTTGAAAGAATTTCGTTGATGACCAAAAGTCTTTAAAAGTATAATTAAATATTTCGCAGCCATAAGTCAAAAATTTTCATTCTCTATTTTGCGTTTGAATAAACTTTCCAATTTCACCTGTGTACATTCTTCTGAAACTTAGTTATTAAATATAGACTAAGTTATTTTTAAATATTTACTTTTGTATTAATAAAGTGAAATTATTTTTAAACTAAACTGCGCATTATATTTATACTTTTACTTATATGAAATAATTTTATTTGGGATACAAGTATAATTAATTATTATGTATGTATATTTGGGATAGAGCTTAAAGCAAAAAAAAATAGATTTTATTTATGAGCGCTTATAGAGACAAATTGAGTAAAGAGACAATAGTGCTTACTAAAACTATACTTTTTTTTATAATATTTGATGTCCGTGCTACTTCCTGTTTAAGAAAGAGGTAATTTCGTTATTCTTACATACCTAGAAAAACGTAAATTTGGCTCTTAGTAGAGTTTCTCTTTGTGCTACCCGAATTCTACTAACTATAGATAACATACCGAAAAACTAAAAGCTCGCCAGTTAGTTTCGGTAACAACCAGAACTCATATATCAAATTTCAAGAAATTCTATCAATTCGTTCCATAGATATGGTGAAAAATGTAAAATCGGCCCGCAGATCAGTTTTCGAGCCCTGATCTTTCCAAAAAATCTATTTTTCTATTATACTCTATTAAATTTCAATGAAATCGACACAAAAATGTATATTTGGCACGTAGTAAACGTCTAGTTGCTGATGCCTGATTTCTTCCAAAAGGAATTTTTGCGGACGGTCGAGCACAGCTTATATATGAAATTTCAAGCAAATCGGTTGAATATTTTTTTCAAAATCTTCAAAAATGTAAAACAGGCCCGCTAAAAAGTGTAGCTCCCGAGGCCTGATATATCCCAAAAGTTGA